AGGCAAGGATCTTGGCAATGTGGCATATTCGTCCTGGATCAAGAGTGTGCTCGACCAAGGAACGATGTATGAACTCCTGGGACAAACCACGAACGAGGAATCCTTGGGAGACGTCGTCGAGATGGTGTTGGGATTCTTTGAGGTGATGTCGTACTTCCAGCACGAACTGCCACTGTGGAAGGATGCATGGAAGATCAAGAGGGAGTTCGAGCAGTCAATAGTGCGACACCTCGCTGGGAACGTGACCCACACGACGGGCCAGAACAGAAAGCGGAACAGACCGTCCGCACAGCTCGGCGTGCCCACGAGGAGGTGCTTGACATCATGAACAAGGTCAAGCCCAGACATCCACGATCCCTGATCACCGAGCCCTCTGCACAAGGGTCCAAGAGAAAGGCCACGGAGGGCGAAGATGAGGGTCTTGGTCAAGCACCAGACCCGAGTCGAAGTTCTCAGCCCAATGCTGAGAAGGAAGATAAGAAGCAGCGAGTGATCGACGGGCGGAGAGCGGCACTAGGATTCCTGGAGTCAATGGAGAAGTGCATGGGAGATATGGGGATCTGTAAGAAGTGCGCGAACCTGGCCCACGACGGCGACTGCAAGGACATTGAGGAGGCTGCTGGAAATGAGAAGGCGATGAAGGTGCTCCGTGAGCTACTCAGCAGTGACCCTGTTTCATCTGATGAAGACATGGGGGATACGGAGGAACCGTCCTCATCAACGTCCAAGGAAAGAAAGAAAGGGGGACAAGCAGGGAAAGAAACAATTGAGATGTACAGCTACACCATTAATTTGGTGGAGATGGCTGACACGGCTGAGGGAGGAGAGCTACAATGTGGTGGCGTCGACCTCACCTACAACCCGTGCGGGGACAACAGGACATTCAAGAAGACGCTTGAGATGGGATGCGACACCATCCCGTGCTACATCCCGAAGTATGGCGATGTGAGTGATGTGCACTTGCCATGGGCGTATGCGTCCATCGTTGACCCCAAATACTTTCCCAAAGGTGCAATCCTTGAGCAAGTGGACGTGATGCAACTTGGCAAGAGTGTCAACTTCTGCATTGCTCCTTTCGACGGTGCTCCACTATGCAGGATTGGTGATGATCGCTCGGTATTTACTACAAGGGACCAAGCAAACCAGCTATCTCACGACCTATGCAGAGTCCTTCGACACAAGATCGGCAATTGCCGAGGAAGTGCTTTCAGGTGCGACGAGGGTGGATGGGTCGACATTGATGCTGTCATTGACGACCGGAACAACGACATATTCCCACCATACACCACGAGAGCGAAACGATACATGGGCATCATGGAGGTGATCAAGTGGCAGGAATCCGGAAGCAGAAAATCGAGATTCCAGGTTTTGGCAGCAAGGTTTCCGAGCATCATGAACCCGAACGACACGAGGGCAGCCAGGGAGGAAATGACCAAGGCTGGCGTGGATCGGGACGACATCGACAGGATGTTCAACAGATGCGATGGATGGTACAGACCTTGGTGCATCCGAGTCACAACCGGTCACAGTGATTTTGGATTCATGAGCTCATCCGCACTGGCGAATAGGTATTCCGCAAGAATGGGTGATACTCTCGGAGGAGCATTCCATGTGACGTATGTGGAAAACCTGCCAAGCATCGTACGCTGTGGGCTAGTCCCCGGCGGAATCGATGGCGGTAACAGGCTAGCACTGCACTTCGGGGCGTTTGCTCCATGGGATGAGATGAACGTGGCGACGAAGACAACGCTACGGAACGTGAGGAGAGGGGATCCGATTGCGATCATCTATATTCCCAGTGCAACCCTCGCGCGGTATGGGGCTGGAGTCGCGGCTAATGGGACTTTCATGGTCTTTGACGTGATCCCGTTCTATGAGGTCAAGTCCATTTGGATTGGCAAAAGCAACGGAGGGAAGCGCCTGGAGTACGCTGACATCAAGAGGGCGTACTCGAAGTGTGTGGAGAACGAGATCTGCCCTGGCTTTGTCAACTCTTCCCAAGAGTCGGCTGCGATGTTCCTCCAGAACGTCGCAAAGATCAGCGAGAGGATGCCGGAGACTGAGACAGGTGCCGATAATCTGCACTACATCGTTGACATGGTTAATCGTGCTTGCGAACTCTATCGAAACAACAAGATGGAAGAGTTCAACGCACAGGTCAACGAGGTCCGGGACGAAGTCAGCAAAGTCGTCATCCTGAATGATGAGACATGGGAAGGACTGAGGTGCCGGATATGTCCATCATGTGCGACCGCGATCCCCACCTGCTTCTGCTTATGCCTGGAGTGCGAGGCACAACTGATCTCCATCGGAAGATACTACATTCACATCAAATCCGATGACGAGGAGGACAACCAAAACCCCAACGTCTCTGGAGATGCCAGGCGTGCACAGGAAGAAGCTAACCACGATGCGGCAGCACAGGAGGATGAGGACGAAGCGGAGGAAGTTCCGGGAGAAGATGACGACATGGACACGCAAGGATATACATCCGGCTATGCGTCAGAAGAAGAAGACGGCGGTTGGCATTACCGCGACACCGATCTGACGTCACGGGACATTATAAGTTCCCAACGGATGGCGATCTGCCTTGACGAGCCGCGTGAGGCTCAGTACATGGCAGGATTTATCGCACTCCAGCTGTCCAAGATGTGGGGGATGTTTGAAGGTGGTGAGGAGAGAACGATGAATGCCGGACTCGAAGGGAATCCGGGCTGCCCTTATCACAATGATTTCAAGAGGTACCCCAACATCACTGAGCACGATCAGGAAGGTATACTTTTGCCATCAACAATAACGAAGATTTCTCAATCGGAGAATGTTCGGACAAGAGCCTTCCGATCGGTTGAGGAGCGTGACGAATATATTCGTATGATGGTGAACAAATGCGAGGGACTATACACATTCTACAAGCTGTGGATTGCAGCAAGAATCCTCGATGTCACCAAGGAAGAAATGAAGCTCCTGGTCAAGGACCGAGTGCACCCGGTGGGTGATATTATTTTCAGATGTTTTGCACTAGCTTTCAACTGTAAGTATATATCATTCGTGAGGGATGGCCTGAACCTTGGCAAACATGGTTACACGGTCAACGTGAGCGCCATCATCTCGGCCGTCGACCCGAACAAATGCGACACACCCCTGCTGGATTGGTGCCTTCGGAAAGGGCACTGGTTGCCAGAGGACTACAACAAGAAGTGTGTCCGGGCACGAGAAGCCCAGAAGAACTTGGACGAGGAGTTCCGCCGACGTACCCATAGGCTGTCCATTGGGGACAGGTATGCTTCGTGAAGATGCTGATTGCGGTACGATGTGGGTCAGTCCCCATCTGTTACTTGCGTCACATCGACACTGTTTCGGTGGAACGACTTATGTCATGATTTATATTCATGTGTCCAAGATGATTGGATGTGTACATGGTTACATATTCCGATGACTATGACGCTCTGGATATTCATGGATGGAACTATTACCTTATAGATGATATCTTTTCATTATTTATGCATTGTCCATGGTATCTGGAATGGCTATGATTTGCATTGATTACTCACCGATGTTTCTTTGCCGGAGATATGCAGACCGATCACAAGCGGGCGCGTCTGGTGGACTTTTGTGGCCAACCCATTTATGGATGACAGCTGCGCGATGCGCAAATGCGGCAGCTGGAATGTTCACTGGCGGTCAAGTGAAGTGGCCACAGTGTATTATATACACCTGCATATGGATGTGTGCTTCGATTGGAGGATGAATGTTTCACTTTTCGTACAATCGAACCCGGCATGTTTCACAGCGAATGAACGGTGTAGTGATAGCAAGTAAAAGAATGCACGACACGATTTCGTAGTTGAAGCCGTGGCCAGTGGAACGTTTTGTGGTGTTTGGACCGCATGATGAACAATGCGACCCAAATGGGGGATGTTAAAACCCTCTAGGCCCCGTGCCGAAATTGGGTAGCTGTTCTGAGGTCCTTGTTGGTGTTGCTTCCCAAGTTCCATTGATCGCCATTTGGCTCAAGACACAATTGAGGTTCAAGATCTGATGTGTGACTGCAGACCTACGTGATCGGCATTAAGAGCAAAACAACTGCTTGCGCCGCATTGTCAGGACTACTGTTGTAACTATCATTCCTTCTCCCTTACAACGTTTACACGGGTTCGGCTATAACGGCATCGTCCGTATACACCTTTCTACGTGGTTGGTATTACAGCTTGAGGGTTCGGTGCATAGCGTCCCACGGGACGTCACCTTGCCGTCTCTTGACAGTGTTGATGGTGTTGATGGTGTTGCTTTTGATGGTATTGGTGTTTGTCTTGGTGCTGATGCTGCTGCTCCTTGTTTGTTTTTTTGTATGTCTCTGTTTGTCTGCTTGCTTGCTTGCTTGTGTGTTTGTTTGGTTGTTGTTGATTGTATATAGATTGCTGTGTGTTGTTTGGCAGCTGTTTGTTGTTTGTTGTGTTTGCTTCTTGTGAGTTGTTTGTTTGATGTTTGATGTGTGTGCCTGTTTTGTGTGTTGTGTTTTTTGCTTGTGTGTTCTCTATTCCGATTCTATTGCGGGTTTGCTGGTTGTTGTTTGTTGCATGTTGTGCAATTTCTTTGTTGTTGTCGTTGTTGTCATTCTGGTTGTGATTGTTTTTGTCGTCGTTGTTCAAGCGACGTGCATTGCAGCCAGTGTGTTGTTTCGGGATCCCTTTTGCAGATCTTGCAACAGTCCCTGCCCAAACGTCCCATCACAGCGCTTCGAATGTCGGGATCCTAAGAATTTCAGGCCCATTGAGGGTTGCTAGGAAATTGGCTGAGATTTGTGCCTACGATGCATGTGCTGTTTGAGCCCAGTGAGGCTGAGCTGAGTTTTGCTGAATGTCACACCCTGCTCCGGCTGCTTCTCTCAGCCTGTCTGGTGAGCCTATGGGCAACCTGTGCCACTTGAAAAGAAACCAAATGGAACTTCGGAAATGAAAGGCTTCAAGGATCTTCAAGACTTTTGGCATAGCGGCCGACAGGACTTGTTGCGCTACCGAGATGCGCTTTGCTATGCGCGTTTGCGGGGCAGCCGCGTGGTGCCCTTCGAAGAGGTGTGAGACACGTAACGGTGCAGTCGCCCAGTGACTCGCCGTAGGAGAAGGTCACAGAAGGACCAGTGCAGGCAGGCTGCCCCGGTGGCATTTGACGTTTTTAAGCTCCAAGCGTCACATCAATTCAGGTATGCTCCCAACTTCACCAGTTTGGCAGGATCCGACCATTCGAGAAAGAGCTCCAGTTGCAAGGCCGGAAGCAAAAGGCAAGGCATTAGAAACAAAGTGCGCACGGGAGGCGACTTGTTTGCATTCTGAGTCGCGATTGCGCTAGGTGGCGCAAAGGCCCGGCAGCGCTGCCGGCATCGCCATCCGGGCCGGGACAAGTCGGACAGGCACAAGGCGGGAGGAGTAGCAGTGCTGCACGATGTTTTTTTTTTTTTTTCAGAAGGTGTGTGCCATGTCATTCCCAGTCTTGTCCATCAGCAAGCTGTCGGCCCCTTGCATCATGCCCGCGGGAGAGCCCCAGGGAACAATCAGCTGTCAGTGAAATCCAAACCTTGTCTTGGAAGCTTGATCATTTCCCAGCTTGATTATGACAGAAAGCCACTAAGTGCTCAAGCATTGTCAAGCATATTCACACGTGCTCAAGAACGATGGATGACAAATGAGTTGTCAGACGGTTGATGTTCGCCTGAATCACTTAGAGTTGTTGTGTCATGTTTTTTCTCCATTCTCCGCATGTGCCCGTCCTAAGCAGCGTCAGCAGAGCATGGCGGAGGAGGAGACGCTAGGACTGCAGTCATGTCAGAGGGACAGATGGTTGGGGCTAGAGAATTTGCTGACAGCAACACACTGCACATATGGAGCATATGGAGCACTAGCTTTGTCTCAATCAGAGCTCAGACCTCGAGGTCTGTGCAGCAGCTGCGTCGCAGCCTGCAAGGCGCAAAGCTTGCGCGGCTGCGGGTGGCCCATTTGAGGCCAAACGCTGAGGGCGAGGACCGAATTTGCAGAAGCCGAATTGGGGAGGAAGAGAAGAAGGGAGTGTGCAAGGCTCGCATCGACTTGACCTGCGCAATTCCATGCCCTGTGGTATCAGCATTGTTTGTTCGCAGGTTGCTTCCTTGATCTTCCTTGAGTTCAAGCGCCCACACTAGCTTTCTGTGCTTGTCATGATTTGAGTTCAAGCGAGGCACAGACACAGTATTCAAAGTACATTCTCAACCGCAGGGCCTACGTACTTCAATTGGTTCTTGTTCCAACGCTAAAGATGCGCCTGGGCAGATCGGTGCTTGCACAGGATGGCGGATCTAGCTTTGTGTCGGTGCCCTGAGTGCGCAAGCCCTCCATCAAACCAGAAGCGCATTGACGGCAAAGAGGCACTCTCCAAACTGCAGGAGCGGGGCATTTTTGCCACAGAGCAAATCCGAAATGGCGACATCATTGCTGAGGCGCACGTTGATGCATTTGAGGGGCACGATGGGCACCAATAAAACAATCCCAGAGCGAGGGCCGGTAATTACCAAAATGCTTGTAGTACTTGAACGAGTGCGATGAGGAGTGAGTGCAGAGAGTGTGGCAGCAGCTGATCCTTTCTTTGCGTTGAAGCCCATATGTGTCCTGCATGAGCCGTGTATCAGAAGCATTTGAGGAATCCCCAAAATACTCCCCCTCAAGGACATGTTTGTGGAATAGGGCTAAAACCCTGTAACACGAAGGCCACCCTTAGAAACGAAGCCTGCCACACTGTGAACCCCCCGGTAAACCCTTTAAAGCAATTTTGCATCTTTGGAATTTGGAGATCGCTCATGTGGTGTGGCAATTTCAAGGGGGAGGAAGAAGGTTGCGTTGATTGTCATTGTCATGGTCTACCAAGTAATGCGTCCCGCCTTCATGAGTCTTTGGGTGTGCCCTTCAAACTGTTTGCATGTACTGGCTGTGGTTCGTCTATGTTGCAGTTGCTTGTTTGTTGCAATCATGTGTTTCTTGTTGTGTTGATGTCGCACTTCCTGCAAGCTAGTTTACTATCGGCAATTGGCATTGGCACTGAAGAGTCCGACCACGTTGCACATGCGTTGATTGGTCTTCGCCTTTCCACTTCATGGGGGCCAGAAGCTCTCTGCAGTGTTATTTGAGCACGGGCACCTGGGGGGGCATGTTTGCGCGAAGGATATATTCGGGCATGTGGACTCTGGAGAAGCCTTCTGAAGCAGTTTTGAGCATCTCTTAAGTTGTGAACGAGAGCAACCCGTCCTGTTTTACCACATTTTCCCTGCGGCTACCGGTCACTGGGGAAAGTTGGTTGGCTGTTTGTTGGTTTCTTGATGGCTCACTCGCTCGTTTGTTTGGGTGGTTCGTCTACTTGAACGGTTTGCTTGTTTGCGTTTGTTTGTTTGCGGTTGCTTGTTTGCGTTTGCTTGTTTGCCTTTGCTTGTTTGCCTTTGCTTGTTTGCGTTTGCGGTTGCGGTTGCGGTTGCGGTTGCGGTTGCGGTTGCGGTTGCTTGCTTGCTTGCTTGTTTGTTTGTTTGTTTGTTTGTTTGTTTGTTGGTTGGTTGGTTTGTTTGTTTGTTTGTTTGTGTGTGAGGCTTTGGGTTGCTACCTGAGCTGTGCTGGGGCTGTCAGAAGAACAACGCGCGGCCTGTCACTGAAAGCAGAACATTTGTGTTTTTGAAACTGCACAAGGTTGGGAGTCACAGCAACATAATGATGCCTCTCTTTGTGTTGACGGGCCAATTGCAATTGGCTCATATCCGGTATCGGTGTGCGGTGAGAGCTCGTGGCCCATATCGTAGGTGCCACAAAGGTGGGTCCTCAGTGCAGAGAAGGCGCGCGAGAGCGAGGTGGGCAAAGCCTTCCTGGAGGTTTTTCCGGAGGTGCGGGAGCGAGTTAAGTAAAGAAGGACTTTGAGAAAGACTTGGAGAAAAATGGAGAAGGAGAGGGGCAGAGAGAGAGAGAAGCGATGTCGTGAAGGCTTCGGCATTGCCCAGAAACAAGCTGATCTTCTTGCTGGATCTCATGGCAGCACGCAGTGAAGCTCATCCGATGCATGGTGCCAAGATCCGGACGGCCACAAACATAGCAGGAGCCAAAGAGCCAAGGCACAGCTACGTTGCCACGCTGCCCTCCCAGTCACCCACGCCTATGTCGTGGCCTTCCAATCTGCGTGCGCCAGTCAGCGTCGATGTCATGTCTTGTTCTTTCCGAAACGAATGAATCTTCTGAAGCTGTTTGAAACATTTGTTTGCATCGCACCTTTCGCAAGGTGCGATGCTTGCTGACACCAACCTTGGCGCCGCTGTGGCGGAGGAGCGCAGCCAGTCACTTGAGCTTCAAGAGACTCACAAGACTCACAAATGTTTTAAGTTTCTGGATTTGACACAGGTTAACCGGTCTGTCTCATGCACGTCACCTTGAGGCTTGAGGAGGAGTTTGCCAATATTATGCCGAAGCTGCAGAAAGAGCGGCCGGAGCTTTTCGGAACCCCAGCTGCAGGCATGCAGCATGCTCTTGCCATTTGCTGTCGCCGTGGCCGGATCTTAGGTGAGCTCTTCAACTTGGAGGCAGGGCGGATCGCATTTCTTAGCTGGCTCTATGTCGAGTCGTGAGTTGAGGCCTTCCTCTGGGCGCACGGCATGTGGTTCTCGCGGCGCTTCCCCACAGCAATGGCGGCAATGGGCAAAAGCAAGGACTACAGCACCTCGGCATGTGAAAGAGTGACATAGAGTGATATAGTTGCAAGGCGAAGAGTCAACATCGTCAACTTTGCTTTGGAAAATCAAAAGGCACCAGGTGTTCATGAGGCAGTGCAAGACTTTAGTGCAGCAGTAAGAGATAAGAGCTTGAGCTCGAAAGCAGAAGCCGGAGCTGGAGCGGGAATTTCGGGATCCCGTACAAATTGCTAATCTCAGATCGGAGATCGGACGAGTTCAAATGGATTCCCAGTCGAGGCTGGCGGCGTTCCTCCGAGGAGGAGATGGAGGAAGAGTCGGATGGCGAGGGTGCCTTGGTGCCGACGCTTGGACGAAGTGCGTTGCTTGCTCGAACTCACACGATCTCACACTCCAGCAGTTGTTTGTGGCAGGTTTATGGACTTCACCAACCATCAAAGCGGCACCCAGATTGCTGCTCGGCCTATTTTAACACGATTTCACTCGGCAGATGTGTTTTGCAGGTTTGGCAGGCCGACGCCGAGAAGGTCACCTTTGTGGCAGGCGGAGACATCCCAAGTGGCAGCGAAGTCTTCAACAACTATGGCGATAAGATGCTTGGCGCACAAGGCTTAGCGCGGCTCTGGTTGCTTCAATAATTTTGGTGTGAAATTTGACATGCAAAGCGCCATGTTGGTAGCGATTGTTTGGCGAGCCGAGCGTACCCCTAAGTATGAGATCCTTCACTGCAGCTTGATTGTCGAAAATCACCTTCGTCGCTGCATCCAGCTTTGTTACGACTGTTGAGCTCGCCGACAAGTTCAGGCTGTTGTTTGATCAGGATATTCTGGATCTGCGATGTCCGGCCTGGCGTTCTTGGGCATCCAACTGGTAGCATGTGGTCCGCAGGCTTTACAGTCCACTGTCGTGGGATTCCCGACGGCGTACTTACCGTGCGACACTCGGGGTTGAAAACGCTGGCCCTAGAGTACACAGGCCAAGCTCGACATGCTTTCCTCCAGGTGTTTGATGCTCGGCAAAGTGGTGGGTTAACGACAGCATCTTGCAGATTTTGATTGCTTTGCCCGCCATGCTTGACCGCCACGTCGCGCGTGCCACAAAGGAACGGCCGGCTAGTACTCTCTTTGCCGTTGCCAGCTTTGCGCCTGTTTCTTTCACACGCACGTGCATCATCTGCAGCAGTCTATTCAAATTGGTTGTTCCAGCTCTTAGAACATTGCTTTCGTTTCGCTGTGGGGCTGGAAGTAAAGACTGCCACCAGACTCTCTTCGGCATGCAAGTGTTGCTGGCCCATTCACACCATGCGCTCGACACGCAGAATTTGCTGCCACTTGTAGCCGCAAGCCCGTTGGGTGACTGCATTGATTTTTCCTAGACTGAATGTCAAAAGTTGGGAACTGAAACTCTCCTGGCTGTGATGTGGGCACCTATTGTTCAAATGCAATTGAGTTCTCAGGAGCAATGAAGACCTTCTTTTGATCCATGGCTTCGCCCTCGTGGACAACATCTATGACACTTATAGCAGGCCTCTAAGCTAGCGGAGATTCGGTCCGCATCACTTAGCTTCTGTTGCCCGTCGCTCAATATAGATTGGCCAAGAGTCAGCTTTGCAAGAGGGAACCTAGGCTGGCGCACTGTCACTGCATTGGACATTCGTTTTTTCTAGATTCACAAAGAATCAGTTTACAAACATATGAAACTCTTCCGGCTTAATTGCTTAACTGCTTCCTTCCCAAGGCCTTTGGCTCACCGTGCAGGTCTCTGATCAGCCCAAGGCCAAGAAGGCGAAGAAGCGCAGGACGGGGGCTCGACTCGATGCTTGTGAAGCCCCCAGCCCTGGGCAAAGATTTGCAAAGATTTGCAGGCTGCGCACAGAGCGCATTGGGCCCTTCCACTTGCGTCGACTAGACCCGAGGCCCGAGACCATCCGAGACCCGAGTGTTTGGATGCACTTGAAAGCTTGAAGCGTGCCACGTCATGGCGCATGCCAAGATGGGAGCAGTTCCCTCCGGAGCTGTGGCAGGCTCCAGGGTTCGAGAGAATCAAAGCTGTGGATGCAATGCTCACCCGTGAGCGGAGGCGCTGTCCAGTACTGGAGACCACATCAGGCGCGAGCGGAGGTTGCGGCAAGTTGGCTGTGCGTTTCATGTGGCCACGAAGCCCTGGCCATTGTGTGAGATTGTTTTTTTAGGACCCTGAGAAAGAGCGGTCATGGGAGGTCATCTTCTGACGCCAAGAAACGTTGGTTCGTTGGTTATGTGATCTCAGGGCCCTCTCCACGCTGGTGAAGCAAAGGCTTCAGGACACGGATGCACGACATTGCACGCCCCAAGCCAGAGCTCAGGATGACTCACTAGATTCTCGCTGACACTCTGGGGATATGATAGAGTCCTTGGCCTGGTCCACGAGCCCACTTTGCTCGCAGGCATTTGGGTTCAACGCATTAATTTCATTGTAGATCTTGCCGTTGCAATGGCGGATCCAGTGGAAGAACTCTTCGGCTACAACCGAGAAAATTTCATGTTCGACCAGGAACTGCGACAATGGCGAGAGTATCAGGAGCAAGATATGCGAGTCAAGCAGTTCATGCTCTACCGGGAGGATGTTCGGGACTTGACTGAGCTAACCATAAGCAAGATGGACAGCTATTTGATGGTTGCAGTTCTGGAGCTGGGTTGCTGTCTGGATTTGCTGGTGCATGGCGTGCTTCATATTCATGAGGTGTCGGATGAGCCGACATGGAATTTGTGGTTGTATGTCATCAGTTTGGCAGAGGCATTTGTGTTCTTGTTTCTCAGTGCTTGGCTGGCCATTCATGCCTCAGTGTCATCACATTCATTCAGCGTGCGACTGCTGACACAGTTTGTCCGACTGCCATTGCCAAACAAGCAGCAGATTGATGCTGCATCAGCTGCCGGAACAGACTATGAGAACATGGGGGTTGAGGATATGCTTCGCATCCCCATCCTGCGACAACAAGCAGAAAGGGTCAATACCAATGCCAATTCTGCCGTGCACACAGCCGGAGATCCTTCAGGCACTGCTGTGGCCGGATTGGTCATGTCTCAACCAGGTGCGGTTCCAGCCACTGCCCTGAAGCACGTGCAAGTCTATCGGGACTTGCAAGACAACTGGCAGGCACACGACGCCTACGCACGGGCGTGCTTGGCACTGGGAACATATAAGCTGCTACATGCACTAGCATACTACACTGTTGGCTTGCTGGTGCTTGAGATGCACGCCCCGTGGGCTGGTCTAGCTGCTTCTATGGTGTTGCCGATGCTTTCTTGGCTTCTCATTCGATTAGACCTTTACTTTGCCAGCACAGTGCGGATGTTGGGCGCGCTGGCACTGATGCTGGGACCCTTGCTGGCCTTGGTTGCAGCCACACTGACCCGGCTCAATGTGATGTGGGTTACCAGGTTCTGCCTTGTGGCTGTGATTTTTGCCATGCATGCTTTGCTCATTGTATGCGTAGCTCACGTGGCGCGGGCTGAGCACGTCTCGGAGCGGGGAGCAGCCTTACCCACCAGATTCCGCAGTGTGCTTTACCTGGACGTTTTCGGATGGGTGCAAGCCCCAGATGACCAGCCCGCAGAAGAAAGCAGAGTGAGCACCGAGTCGAGACGAGAGATGCCCAACAACCTGCGGGAAGGGCTATACAAGGAGTGCAGTCGCTTGGGCAGGCAGCTGAGGCTGGAGTTCTCCACCTGGGATCTGGCCGACTTGGAGAACTTGCCCAACATGCTGAAGCACCTGCGCGCCCTGCAGCGGGAGTTCGAGAGCATTTGCCGGGACTTCCGAGATGCTCACGACACAGACCTGAGCCGACTCCGGATCAGCACAGCTGCGGACACCTCTTGGACTGCGGCTGAGTTTGACCAGAGAGAGACAAGAGAGAGTCCAGAGATTTTCCTTCGCCTGGAGTGGCAATGTGAGCGGGTCTCTGTCTTTGTCCAACCCCAGACTGGAGCACGAGGGATGGAAGAGCCCCAGGGCAAGTTCATCTCGGATTTGAACGGTCTGGCAGCGCGGATGGAGATGCTGCGGCAGCGCATCGAGGCGTTGAAGGAAGACGCCAGAGCCAAGCCGCGGTCCAGGATCAGCCGCTTTGCAGGGGGCTTGATGCCGCAGACGCACGCGCACAGCCAGGAGACCCGATACGGAGGGCGAGAGTCCTCAGACATCTCGGACTTGGGTGGCACGGACTTCCTGATGGCCTCCGAGACAGCTGCCCAGACCTTCTTTCCACGCCGGGACAGACGGGAAGAATCAAAGCAGCTGCCTGGTCAGGTGCCCTGGCACACCGTTTTCATTGCAAGCTCCGTGCTGGTCACCGTTTGGGTTGTGGGCATCGTGTGGTACGTTTTGTATCCTATTGCAACTCATAAAAGCTCGGCGCCCGAGACTCCTACTCTCGCAGGGGCCTTGCTGTTCGAGTGGCCTGCCCGGACACTTCCCTTGCGGCCTGTGGCCATGGCGTGCGATGAGAACTACAGCCACGTGATCATCGCAGAGCGCTTCGCCGTCCACGAGGTCTCAGTGGACGCAGCATCTACATCTGCAACTCTCAGCCAGTGCCTGGCTCAACAGCCCAGCTTCCGTGCGCAGGGCCTCACAGCTGCGGGAGTCAGATGTTGGGACTCAGCTTGCCGAGCTGCTTTCCGAAACACGCCTGGCAGCATCCTGATTTGCCCTTTGGGCACAAGCACGTGCCCGCCCATCCTCTTAGACATGCCCTTGGATGCCAAGGTCTCGAATCCATGCCATATTGCTCCAGGTCAACTTGAAAGCATGCTGGACGGTGAGAAGCCTCCACTGCCACGTGAGAGGTTCCTGGACACAAAGCCGGTGCAGTTGAGCGAGGCCCTACTTGGGGACGTCTCTCTCAGCCTGACCGGCAGCTCGCTTCATGCTTGGGCTGAACAGGTGCATCTTGCCAGCTGGAGTCTTCCACAGAGCCATGAATGGACTGCATGCCATGCTGCCGGTGAGATCTTTGCGCTAGGCACACAAGAGTTTCAGCTTCCCGAGCTTTGGAGCTTCCCAGTGCCATTGTAGGCCAAGTTTCACCCAAAGCGAGAAAGAAATCAGTGCAAAAGGTGGGCCGACTTCTCAGACCTCTGCCTTTGTGTTTCTTTGGATATTCTTGGCGTTTGATGCGTTTGGCTTTCAGGACTTCCTAGAGACGAAGACCCGCGATCGGCACTTTGCAGCTGGGGGCGCCGCTGAGGGCCAGGAGCTGGACCCGCGCATCAGGCGAGATCAAGTGTCAATGCGTTTTTCACGCAATGCGGCACACGCAATGCGCCAGCAATCCAGCAATGAAATCAAGTCACCCGATAACCCGATGGATGGGAGCGCTGTGAGGTACATCGCACGGTACCGGGATGGACAGCGGCAGGTCTTGGAGGAGTGCAACAAGGCGCTGGAGGACGTGACGCGAGCAGATTACGCGGCGCGCGCTTTCGGATTGGTATCCCATTGCGAGGAGATGGCGGCAAAGGCCGGGCACACTCCCGATCTCTCCAAACGCTCGAGTCCGTCTCCTTTGTGGCAGAGCGGGCTAAGCGGGGTACGCGACGTATCACGAACACAACCACAAATGTAGCACGAATAGCAAGGCTTACAGAGGCCAGCAAGCATGTTTTGTGAAGTCCAGATCTGCCCCCCCAAGCTCCTGGTTGCCAGGGATGGGAGTTTGTTGGTCCAGTGTTTTGGATCAGATTGGGAAGTTGAGATTTCTCACTTTCCGCCGGAAGGTTTAAGTGCTCCCAGGTCCGACAGGTCAGCCTCATAGCCTGAGCTCATGCTCAGAGTCGGGTTGAACGCTGAGCCTTGTGGTCCGGGGTTTGTTTTGGGATTCAGGCTGGAGTCTAGCTGTGGAAGCCTAGCTGCTTGTTTGGTTGGCTGAATTTTTGCGCTAAGGTCCAATGGGAGTCTACAAGAATATCTTGCTATCAGTTTGCCTCTAGAAATCCGTATTAGGACGTCGCTTCAGAAAACGAAGGGAGTTGCCGTGCCTGAATGGGCGCTGTAGCAAGAGAAGCATAGCTTAACAGCGAAGCAGCCAGAGGTTCTCAGTGAATGGCGCTTTTACCCCACTCAGGTAAACATGTCTAGAGGTGGACATATCAACACAAAAGGTAGCACCACACTGCAGCCGCGGAAGGTTCGCGGAGGATTTTGTCCTGCGGAAGCTTGCGGAAGGGGCGTGGTTATAATTGCATATATGCTCTTACTAGAATTACGAGCAGATCGTGGAGAAGCTTCCTTCTTCCATTTCCATAAGCAACTTGACGCCGGAAAAGCATCTAGACACATGCTCGTGGAAGGTTCCTTCACGCCTGTGAAGGTTTCGCGGCTTGGGCCCATACGTTCCAATCAAGTTTAAAGGGAATGAACACTCAAGTGATGGCGAGGCGAGTTCTGTTCGAATGCTGCAGGCAGAGCCAGCTGAGCCTGGGAGTGCGAGCACATGCACGTAAAAGAGACGCGGACTGCGCATTTTTTCAAAACCTTCCTCGTCCCGGGTGTGTCTCAAAGTGACCTGCCAGATTTGCGCGAGCAGAAAGGCGAGCTCAAGGACAGTCGTCTTATTTTCTGGGCCTGCGGCCTCTGGCCGGCTACGCCTCTTTGAAGTTATACCATGTCATGTCATGTTTTTTGTATGAGAAACGTATCCTGTGCTATGATATGGCTGGTTAGGTTATGCATGTTGCCCACCCCAACCCCAGATGATGCCGGGGATGCCAGCTTTCGGGGCCCTAGCCGGGACCCAAACCAGAAGGCTGACATGGGGTCGCGCGCGCGCGCGCCAGAGGCCGCAAAAACAGCAGCCCAAAAAGAACAGCCCGCAAGCCAGCCCGGAAACGCAAAAGCAACAAAACACCGTAAATAGCGGTGTTTTGTGGCTGGGGTCACGCGCGCGCGCGTGCGCGCCAGAAGGCCCGAAAACCAACGCGAAAAAAGCAAGGACCGCGCAGCACGCGAGCCAGCCACAGGAAAAGCAAAACGGACAGAACAACAGCCCACCGCTCAGCACAGCAGTTTTTGACGGTATTTTACAGCATTTTGTAGAGCGAGGGCCCAGCATCACCTGCATGCCCGGCAGCGCTTGGCGCCAAAATGCGCGAAAATGAGGCTCGCTTATATCCCTCCGATACCTTCTAAAAAACAGTGCTTTTTGGGTTGAGAGGCTTTTTGGAAGTAAGTCTTGATGATGCAGACCAAGCCCCGCTGAAACATCACCCAGGCCCAACCCCAGACCCTGATGATGTCAGCCACATGGCCTAAACCCTGCATATACGCAATGTTTTGCGAGGGTTTCCCACAGGCAAGCAAAACCGCAAGCCCGAGCTGGTGATGCAGAGGTGCCGGATTTAGGCAGCGCATCCCGACCAAGTGGCGAGGGTCGGCGGCACCAGGGTGCACCCCCTATAGCTAAAGCTAGCAGGCTAATTGCCTAGCGGCGACATGCTACCCCAAGGAGGCGTAGCCGGATTTACACGCTGACGCGACACAGCCGGCCACCGGGCACCTTGCCCTGCCCGTTCTGTCACTTCCCATGCAGGTGCTGCAAGGATGTTGTCCACCATGGGCGCCCCCCCCCCAAAAAAAAAAACGCTCGTTTTTTTGACTCCGCACGGAAATTGTAAAAAACAAGAAGCGTCAATTTTCCATACAGTATGCAGCTGTGTTCCATGCATTTCCATCCTTTGTCCATGCATTCCATCATTTTCCATCCATTTTCCCGCAACTGTCCATCTAGTGCCCATCCATTTTCCACGAAGTTTCCATCTACTCATTTTCCATCCTCTTTCCATTCACTCCAGTGTTGTCCATCCATTGTCCAGCAATGTTCCATCCGTTTTCCATGAAGTTTTCATCCATTTCCCACAATCCATTTCCATCCACCTTTCCCTTCATTTCCCCACATGTCCCTTGCCGGCATGGACAGCGCCCCCTGCATGCTCCATCAACTTTCCATCCAGCTTCCATGAAGTTTCCATCCAATTTCCAGACATTTTCGATCCATTCCATTCACCTTTCCTGTCATTTCCCCACACGTCCCTGACCAGCGTGGACAGCACCCCCTGCATCGACTGCATCAATTGTTGCACCCTGTTGCAATCCTTTTTCCATTCATTCCATCAATGCATTTTCCAGGAACTTTCCATCAATTGTCCACACATTTTCCATTCCAGCCCATTCCATCCAGTGCCCGTGCATTTTCCTGCATCTCGGTTTCTCTCCGGTGCCCTCTTCATTTTCGTACAATTCCTTTGACTTTCATTTCGTTCACTTCCAGTCACTCCTGGTTCCTTGCATTTCCCCTTCAGCCCCTCGTTTCGCATCGCCAGCATGCATAGCATCATCCGCATCATCCGTGATGATGCTGGCAATGCTGGGGGTGTTGTCCAGTATTAGGCGCTTTTGTGAGCTAACATTGGCTCACTACTGTCTGCCCCGTTTCACTGCATCTCGATTGGCCGAACTACCAGCAATGGCTGGAACTACGCCCATGCATGCGACTACGCTGAATGTCATGCCGATGGAGGTTACTGCATCAGCTCCAGAGGCTACTCTGCCCGTCGAACAACAGGCTGGCATCACTACACCGGACCGTGTTTCCACACCACCAGATCGACAGAATACTACCGACTCCATGGCCACTTTAACCACACCACCACCTGAGGCACGCAACGCCCTCAACTACAACTTCAATCACCAACTACCCACACCTGCACCTTTCTACAGACCCGACGACATTTTGGCACATCTCACTACTGTTGAGAACAACATCCCTGACACTCCAGCGATCGACCCGGCACAGAACTACTTCAGGGTCTACGTGGCTTTGACGCTAGAGGAATTTCAACTACTCAGTCAACAACAAAACTACGGATTCCGGGCTGTCAACTTTGTCAAGTCTGTCAAGTGGCCTCAAAATCGTGTAAAACGCCTGCAAACGCAGTGATGTCACAGAAGCGAGGACATCTGTCACAGAAACGAGGACAAGCTCGGCTGGCTGCCTTGTCACCCCAAGAACCCCGTAGCTCAGTCGGTTACCGCGCCTCTCTCATCAGCAGCGCCCTGGCCCGGGGCTCAAGTCCCGGCGGTGACGAGGAGGGTCTAAACAGTTGGGCAATGGATGACTGTCATGCTAACGCTCATCGTAGTGTCCTCTGCATCACCAACGCTGCCTGAAAAGAGATGACGACGACCACGATGATAATGGCACGGGCGTGATGATCGCTATCATCCGCGTCATGACATCCTCTGCATCTCTGCTGGTTCCTTGATAACTATCATCATCGCATCCTTTGCATTGCCAAGGATGTCCAACGTCCCTTTTGATTTCCATATATAATAAGATATTAGATGATGCTAGGTGATGATCACATGATGACAAAGATGATGACAAGGATGATAACTATCATCGTAGCACCCTTACCATCGCTAACGGCTGTGATGATAACTATCATCGCAGCATCCTCTGCATCACCAATGCTGCGTGATAAGAGATGACGACGACCATGATGATAATGGCACGGGCGTCTGCATCATCACCGCATCCTTTGCATTGCCAAGGATGTCTAACGTCCCTTTTGATTTCTATATATTAAGATATTAGATGATGCTAGGTGATGGTCAAATGATGCTAAAGATGATGACAAGGATGATAACCATCATCGTGGCATCCTTAGCATCACTCACGGCTGTGATGATAACTATCATCGCAGCATCCTCTGCATCACCAATGCTGCGTGGCAAGAGATGACGACGACCATGATGATAATGGCACGGGCGTGATGATCGGTAGCATCCGCATCATGACAACAATCATCACAACATCCTTTGCATCACTACTTGTTCCTTGACAACTATCATCGTCGCGTCCCTTGCATTGCCAAGGATGTCTAACGTCCCTTTTGATTTCTTTAAATAAGAAGACATTAGATGATGCTAGGTGATGATCAGATACTGATAAAGATGATGACAAGGATGATAACTATCATCGTAGCACCCTTAGCATCACCAACGGCTGTGATGATAACTATCAACTATCATCGCAGCATCCTCCGCATCACCAACGCTGCGGGATAAGGGATGACGACGACCATGATGATAATGGCACGGGCGTGATGATCGTTATCATCCGCGTCATGACAACTATCATCACAACATCCTTTGCATCACTATTTGTTCCTTGATAACTATCATCATCGCATCTTTTGCATTGCCAAGGATGTCCCTTTTGCTTTCTATATCTAAGAAGATATTAGATGATGGTAGGTGATGATCAGATGATGACAAAGATGATGACAAGGATGATAACTATCATCGTAGCATCCTTAGCACCAATAACGGCTGTGATGATATCTATCATCGCAGCATCCTCTGCATCACCAACGCTGCGGGATAAGGGATGACGACGACCATGGATGATAATGGCACGGGCGTGATGATCGTTATCATCCGCGTCATGACAACTATCATCACAACATCCTTTGCATCGCTACTTGTTCCTTGATAACTATCATCGTCGCATCCCTTGCATTGCCAAGGATGTCTAACGTCCCTCTTGATTTTTATATATAATGAGGTATTTGATGATGCTAGGTGATGATCAGATACTGATAAAGATGATGACAAGGATGATAACTATCATCGTAGCATCCTTAGTATCACCAACGGCTGTGAATCAGGCTGTGATGATAACTATCATCGCAGCATCCTCTGCATCACCAAGGCTGCGTGATAAGAGATGACAACGACCATGATGATAATGGCACGGGCGTGATGATCGTTATCATCCGCGTCATGACAACAATCATCACAACATCCTTTGCATCACTACTTGTTCCTTGACAACTATCATCATCGCATCCTTTGCATTGCCAAGGATGTCTAACGTCCCTTTTGATTTCCATATATATAAAGATACTAGATGATGCTAGGTGGTAATCAGATGATGATAAAGATGATGACAAGGATGACAACTATCATCGTAGCATCCTTAGCATCACCAACGGCTGTCATGATAACGATCATCGTAGCATCCTTTGCATCACCAATGCTGCCTGATAAGAGGTGACAACGACCATGATGATAATGGCACGGGCGTGATGATCGTTATCATCCGCGTCATGACAACTATCATCACAACATCCTCTGCATCACTACTTGTTCCTGGATAACTATCATCATCGCATCCTTTGCATTGCCAAGGATGTCTAACGTCCCTTTTGATTTCTATATATATAAAGATACTAGATGATGCTAGGTGGTGATCAGATGATGATAAAGATGATGACAAGGATGATAACTATCATCGTAGCACCCTTAGCATCACCAACGGCTGTGATGATAACTATCATCGCGGCATCCTCTGCATCACCAATGATGCGTGATAAGAGATGACAACGACCATGATGATAATGGCACGGGCGTGATGATCGTTATCACCCGCGGATAATTATTATCGTAGCATCCTTGGCATCACTAACGGCTGTGATGATAACTATCATCGTAGCATCCTCTGCATCACCAATGCTGCCTGTCAAGAGATGACGACCACCATGATGATAATGATGATAAGGATAAGAGAATAGGAAAGAGATGATGATAAGAATGATGATGATGACGATGACTGTGATGATAACAATCGTCATAGCTGCTGATGCTGATGAGGATGAAGCTTTGGTTATACTTATGCGCCAACCACCCTTCCCGTGCGCCTCCCCTTTTTAGAGAAAGGGTCGGCGGAGTTCCGCCAAAACTGCGCCGGCCAAGAGTTTTTCTCAAGGACAGGCGGCCAAGCCAGAGCCAGCCGAGGCCGTGTGGCCCTCATTGGCATTGGTCGCTCGGAGCTGAGAGGCCTGAGATCGTGAAAGGCAACCAGGTCTTTGAGGCTGAGCACACGAAGGCTGGGGAATGGCATGGAGCCAATGGAGATAGAGCCGTTCAACGTCACGGGAGAATGCACAATGCATTGCAAATGCAGCTCTGCAGCTCTGGTTCGGAAGAGACATCGACAGCCATTTCACATTGTACAGCCCAGCTTGCCGCGCGCACGAAGAACAGAAGAAGAAGAAAGAAGAAGATAGATCACGGATTTTGCACTTCCAAGGCAAGTCGCCATGGCTACGCCTTTGCTGGGGGCACCTGCGCAACAGGGCATGAGCCCGGCTCTAGCAGCCTAGCTAGATGCTGGACTCGAAGGTATCCACGGCATGTGAGGCCACCAAAGGAAATGTGAAACGTGGCAGATCTTTTCATCAGGGCTATCCCTCTCGACTTAACCAAGGCTTTGCTGCAGCGGGTGGACGAGCTGCAGGCATTGATCGTTGCGCTGAAGGCGGTGCCTCATGTTTCGCCAGGTGAAGGAGCGCGTCAGCTGGCTGCAGGAGATTACCACCTTTCTTGGTGCAGAGATCGAGACAAGGCACATGGAGACATGACTTCCGCAACTCAATTTGACAGATGTCAAGTTTCGCAAAGCCAGGAACAGATACGCGATCCAGGACGGCATCGGCAATCAGCTCTTCTATGCTATCGAGAGGAGCCAGAGCTCAGCGATAGAGTTGTGTTTGTTCTGAGCCTATTTGATCAGCAGATGTTGCTCTAAGCGCAGGTAGCCGGAACGGCCCAGCATGCAGCATTTCACATCCTTCGAAAAGAAAGGACAGACTGCTGTCGCCGACAACTGCAAAGATCGTGCCTGCATGAATGAGCCTCGCCTCAAACTGGAATCGTGTCTTTTGCGAAGTCGCCAGTCCAATTTGAATTGGGCCGCATCTAGAGTTCGGCTGTGCCAAGGTGCAAGTTGGGAGGTGGATGTGCTGCACACGCCGCCGGGACAGTACATGCAGAGGCTGGCACGGGCAGTCTCCCAAAACGCGCCTCACGACAATTCTCGAATTTGGCGGACGAACCAAACAAGTTGTTTGCCACATGGTGTTCGGCATGCTAACTACTGCACTTCTGCCTCAAGTATAGCATGACCTTGGATACTACGGTCCTGGTAAGGAGTGCAGCGTCTTAAGATGTTGGCCAAAACTTTCATGGAGCTGAGTGGCGAAGATGGGTTCGCCGTTTTCCAAGTACGCAGATTCTTGTCGATGCGGCGGCCGATGCAGTGCGTGTGCTGCTGCTTTTGCCGACCTACCGCTGAGGCTGGGCGCTCACAGTGAAGGGATGCACTTGTGAAAGTTCGAGTGTCCAGGTCTTTGATGACCTTACGAGGCAGAAACTAGGCTCGCACCATCTCGCACATTCGTGTGATTGGTCAAGCAACGCGGGATGCTCTCACACAGACGGCAGGACGCGTGGATTTGTATTCAGCTTGAGTATCCCCTCGTCAGGCTCTTTCCGAGACCCCTGTAGATGCTGCAATTATAATTTCAAACTCCGAGATGCTTATGATACAGATGCGGCTTGGCCGCAAATTGAGCCCTTTCGAACCTGTGCATACGCCGCGTTGCAGGTCTTGGAAGTCCATGGAGGCTGCTGCCAGCCGGCCGTGTGGTCACTTGACTCAAGTGTGGGTTTGAGGTGATTGCCCATTGCCGAGGTGCCCATTGCCCTGCGGCCCGTGCGCAAACCTGCAATTTGACGTCTTGGATGCCCACACAGGCACGGCTGATCACGTCTGCACTTCACGTCACTTCTGGGTACGCCTAGCTTTTGCCACTGGATACCTCCAATCACTGCCGTTGACTGCGGGTGCAGCTTGTAAACTCAGGCGCAAAGGTCGCCAGCATCACCAAGCAAGTTCCTGGCCTGGTGGCTGGGATGGGCAAATGGAGACCTTGGAGACCTTGAGATGCGTTTTTCTTCGCTCAGTTAGCCTTCATGTTTGCCTCCGACGTGGACAACTACCACATCCAGTATGACCTGGTGCAGGCTCGCGGAAATTCGTTACCCATGTTTGAGAGTAAAGAAGCATTCGCCAATTTGACAGCATTTGGCTTGAACCTTGCGCATTGGGTGACCTTCGCCAGGATCCTGCATGGAAGGCCCTGCTCTTGTCCTTCACCATCTACATGGATTTTTTGTGGCTTGACACGTCATGGGAAGAGCTGTGTTCAGATGCCAAGCTGAGGTTTTTCAACAACCCGAATCCCGGATCGGAAGAGGAAGCTTGGGCGGCTGACATGGTTATGGCAGATGAGACCACATGCTGCTTTGGGCTGAGGAAAACTCATGAAGGCACGGGCAACATGGCAGCGTCCATCAGCGCTAAATGTTTTGTTGGAACACTTGAATCTATGACTAAAGTGTCTAAAGGACGAGATGTTGAGGACTTGGCTCTGGCTTGCACAAAGCTGACTGATAGAACCCCAGCTTTGCAGCTCAGGTTTCAATGGCGGTAGCTGCTGCTGTTGCTGAGTGAGTGCCTGTGGGGAAAGACGCCGAAGACGCCCCCCAACATGTCTTTCCATCGGAGTATTCAGTGGGCAAATCCCTTCGATTGCAATTGATCACGGCTGCAAACCTCAGCCAGAGCAATCTGCGCTGAACTAAGCCTAGGAGAAAGCATTCAAAACTTGCTTGTGTCCAGTGAGTTGTTCGAAGCAATGTTTGTTAGCTAAAGAAATTGGCAGCTGGACAAATGGGTGAAGTCTTCTCAGCTTGTTTGCAGCCTGCGATGTGCCGCCTCGGATGTTGCACAGATCGGAGGATGGCCGGAAGGAAAAATGCGAAAGCTGAGAGATCCTACCACGAAAGGAACCAGTTAATGAAGAAAAGCAAGAGTAGTGAAGAGTTCCGGGAAATCAACCGGCCTGAAATGACATGCACCTTGTTGTTCATGCACGTCAGCATAGGGGAGCTTGATTTACAATCAGTGGATGTTTGAAAACAGTGACTCGGGGCGAAATTCTGTGAACCAGCAGCAAGCCGATTTCGGATACCATTTTCGCAGTTCTCTGCTATTGTGCGGCCAACCTTCTGGCAGAGCTAGGAACCACGAGAGCACGGCCAGAGCTTTTGCAACCCTTCGGAGGGAATCGAATCCCGAATCCTGTCCAATCGCAAGTAGCGTCCAGGCTGCTTTGAACTTGACAGAGCAGGATTGGTCCGAGCAGGCGAGGCCATTGTGCTGATGGTGTGTGAAGCTTTAAGATGGGCAAACGAGCTTTTCTTGAAGCACTAAGAATGCACAAGTGGATACACAGACTGGCAGGTTCGCGGGCAAGTCACTGGTACGGGTGTGCAGCGTGTGCGTGACTTACACAGGAGAGATGAGTTTGCTCTATCCGGAGGTACTTGTAGAGTCAGCATTTCTTTGCGCGCAGCAATTTCCAGCTCGATTGGCTCGAATTGCTATCATTTGGAGCAAGACCATTTGCCTGGCGCCTGGCTTCACTTTGCTTCCTTTTGCCTGCCTGATTCGAGTTGGTCACGTATTGGTTTGACATACTCCCACCTGTATTTTCACAGGCTAGTTCGTATTCTATAAGATCAGCAGCCAAGGCCAGCTAGCCTGTCATGGCTCTTTGCTACCTTTCTACCTTCATTCATGTGCAGGACCGGGTGGCGTTTTGTAGAGAGTCATGAAGCGTGAACGCTGGCAGGATGAGGACGAGCCCCCCATTGCTCCTCGTGCGAGGACAGAACCAGCATGGAGTCTTCATGAGAGAAGCATCGACGAGACCCGCTGCCGAGAGAAGCTTGGCCGGACTTTGAAGGGGACTCTGACAGAAATCCAACCTGCGAGGTATATTGATCAATTGCCGGAACGCCTCTCCAATTGGACTCCGCCACCTGAAACCAGCCAGGCGCGGAAGACAATTGAGTCTGCCAGTGCATTTCAAGTCAACGTTTCAAAGCTCCGGATATGCAGCTATGCGTATTAGGCTCAAAATGATGACATCAGCTGCAAGCGCCTGGGTCAAGATGTGCATGCAACGCCTCCTGATGCGTTCAGGCGGCATTGCTTCAATCGTGTATATCATATATAGCTATCCCCCCCCGAGACAAACAGCTGGGTGTTCATGAGTTTGATGTGGATTGCTGCATTTGCATAGCATTCCAGACAGAGAAGTCGCTTTTGAGGGGAAATCCTCAACAGACAGACTGCTCCGGAATTCTCTCGATTTGTAGATGGGTACGGCGTGTAACGCGCTTTTAAAGATCATCAGGATTCTAATGAACTATTTGGTATAGCTTGCATTTTCTGAATTGGCTTGATTCATTTAACTTATGTCTTACTTGATTCTGACGCCATGGTCCCCTGGCGATTCAGTTTCGGGCAAAAGCAGTGTAATGAGTTGCCCTGAGGAACTAATTGATCTAGTCTACCAGATTGCTTGATTGAATTAGTTAAACGGATTTAGTTGTTTTTACGTCGTCGTTGTTTGACTGGTTCTCGACCCACAAATGGCTGCCCTGAGGAATTCATCAGCATAACGCGAACGGAAGCAAGATCCTGGTTGCAAGGGTATCTCAGACAAACAAATGTTGCATTCATGAAAGCATCCAAGTCAAGCTTAGCTTTTTCAAGCTTTGAGTGTCAAGCTTGGCTTTGTCAAGCTTTGAGTGTTGTGAATCAAGATTTTCAAGAACACACACAGCCAGACGCCTTGACCAAGCAGACGGTTTTGCTCACGGTATTTCTATGTTTCACTATTTTTCACCATTATGATACCATCGCCATGTTCCTATTTGCGAGCTGGAAGGACATCCCAGCTTACAGGTCCCAGACTTCGTAAGATTTTGCTCGGTTTGGCGGTAAACATGAAGATTTTGCCACCGAGGATGCCAGGCAAGTCTTCCAAGTCGGCGCCTGAGAGGCGGCTTGGCCACGCTTTAAGTCTTCCATGCGTAGCGCATGCCAGGCCCTCTCCAGGAAGCTTGGGACATCCGGAGTTTTGCTCTCGGCCATGTGTCTACGTGACCAAAGGCGGGTCTCGAAGCTTTGAATGTTTGCAGCTTCGGCATGCCAGGTGCCTGTCAGAACGGTTCGTCATGCAACTTTTGCCACCTCGGGCACGGCAGTGCTCCGAAGTTGGACAAGCGACAGCGAATCTTGGACCCAACACCTGTGCGCACACATGTTGTGAGCACAAGTGTTTGAGTGCCTTACCATTGGCAGACGTGTTCCCATGAAATTGACGACAGCATCCTTGGGCATTTCTCAAAGCGCTTTGTCAGGCAGCATGCTACAAGACATGCCCAATGACGACGTGCTGCAATTGCTGCGTGCTTGCTTGATGACAAAAGTGTGACTTGGCACTTAAGCTTCGACATGCGTGGCAGCTAGCCTGAGCAATGTCTCAAGAGCCCAGCTTCTTCCGGGAACGCCAGAGTGGCAGCCTGTCAAGTCGGTATCCAAGAGGGTTTGGTGACTCGCAGAGGGGGATGTCGACGACGAAGTCGTCGACATCACTTGACAAGTTTGAGACCGGCATTTTGATCAGGAAGAAAGCCAAGAAGAAGGGTGAGAACCTTCCGATCCAAAGCCTCCTGCATCTTTTGGACGCCACTCGCTGCATCATTGGCCCAAATGCATTGACTGTTTGTCACTTTTGCCTTTGGCCTGTATAGTTTCACGCAGTCAGGAGGAGATGGTGGCTACGAACGCGAATGCAACGACTACCGCAGCTCGCTTGACACACACACACACACATAATATATTTGTATATATAATATGTATGTAATGTAATGAAAATGTAAATGTAAACGTAATGTAAAGTAATGCAATGCAATGCAATGCAATGTAATGTATGTATGTACGTACGTAGGTATGTACGTAATGTATGTATGTATGTATGTAAGTGATGTATGTAATGTAATGCAATGTAATGTAATTTAATGTATGTATGTATGTAATGTAATATACGTAGTGTAATGTAATGTAATGTAACGTAACATAATGTAATGTAATGTAATGTATGTAATGTATGTATGTATGTATGTATGTATGTATGTATGTATGTATGTGATGTGATGTGATGTGATGTGATGTAATGTAATGTAATGTAATGTAATGTAATGTAATGTAATGTAATGTAATGTAATGTAATGTAATGTAATGTATGTACGTATGTAATGTAATGTATGTATGTATGTATGTATGTATGTATGTATGTATGTATGTATGTATGTATGTATGTATGTATGTATGTATGTAATGTATGTATGTATGTATGTATGTATTTATGTATGTATGTATGTATGTATGTATGTATGTGTTGTATGTATGTATGTATGTATGTATGTATGTATGTATGTATGTATGTATGTATGTATGTATGTATGTATGGATGTATGTATGTATGTATGTATGTATGTATGTATGTATGTATGTATGTATGTATGTATGTATGTATGTATGTATGTATGTATGTATGTATGTTGTGGTATGTATGTATGTATGTATGTATGTATGTATGTATGTATGTATGTATGTATGTATGTAATGTTTGTGTATGTATGTATGTATGTATGTATGTATGTATGTATGTATGTATGTATGTATGTATGTATGTATGTATGTATGTATGTATGTATGTATGTATGTATGTATGTATGTATGTATGTATGTATGTATGTATGTATGTATGTATGTATGTATGTATGTATGTATGTATGTATGTATGTATGTATGTATGTATGTATGTATGTATGTATGTATGTATGTATGTATGTATGTATGTATGTATGGGTATGGTAGGTATGGTATGGTATGGTATGGTATGGTATGGTATGTATGTATGTATGTATGTATGTGTATGTATGTATGTATGTATGTATGTATGTATGTATGTATGTATGTATGTATGTATGTATGTATGTATGTATGTAATGTATGTATGTAATGTATGTAATGTATGTAATGTATGTAATGTATGTATGTATGTAATGTATGTATGTATGTATGTATGTATGTATGTATGTATGTATGTATGTATGTATGTATGTATGTATGTATGTATGTATGTATGTATGTATGTATGTATGTATGTATGTATGTATGTATGTATGTATGTATGTATGTATGTATGTATGTATGTATGTATGTATGTATGTATGTATGTATGTATGTATGTATGTATGTATGTAATGTATGTATGTATGTATGTATGTATGTATGTATGTATGTATGTAATGTATGTATTGTGAGAGGCGTCAATCCTAACCAAGGACTAACCCAGAATCCACGTCTCACCCGTGTCCCGACTCTCTGGCACACCCGCGAAGCGGCTCGTTGTTTTCACAGGCAGCGCACTCATTCACCGTGCGCATGTGGCTTGAGCCAAAATAGGCACGCCACTCCAACTTCCTCAAGGTGGACATGTCAACTTGCAAGACATGTCCACTCATGCAACCTCCAGCAAAAATAGCTCACTTACCAAAGCCTAATGCCTATGGCTGCAATGACAAAATCATGCATGAGAATGCCAAGATCTGCAGTCGCCCCCAGTTGCAGCCTCCAGCCGCGGCGGGGAATGCACCTCCAGAGCATTCTCATCCTTAATTGTGGGAACAGCCCCATCCTTCAAATTGCGGGGGCTCCCTATCCTATTCCACTGGGCAGTGGCCAATTCCTTATACCCTTCATCCGGCCCTGGACCTGGGCTCAGTGCTGCTTCGGCTCGGCTCATCCGATCTTTCCAGCCTGGAAAGTTGCAGTCGCAGCTTCTCATTCTCAGTCTCCAGCGCCTTGTCTAGCAAGTGAACCAGCTTGCCGCTCCCATCGACGGCTAGCTTAATCCAGCTCACAAACTTCTCATTCTGCTTCTGGCTGAAGAAGACCTGATTCTGCATGGTGCCCAGCAAGGCCAAATAGTTACTGAAGAAGGCAGAATCCGAGTTGTCATACTTCTCCGCGTTGTATGCAGTGTGAATCTTATCCACGGTCTGGAAGACCTTGAGCGCCAAAGCGCCATCCACAGCGCCTCGCCCGGAAAGATTGAACACAGCCGCGTAAAGCCTGGAAAGGTGGTCAGATCGCAACGATCCCGGGGGTTTCGATTCCTTACGAATGTCGTTGAGCACCTGTTGCAAATACAACACGGCTCCCTCCGAAGTTGCCAACGGACTCGAGAAATCGTCCCTGACCAAACCTGAACTCTGCCCGCGAGCGTCATCCCGCTCCGCACTGGCCACTCTCGGTTGCTTATTCCTACTCCCGGTACCCAGCTCCTTAGCCTTACTCACTAGGCCTTGAAGACAACCGACTTCGACATATTCACTCCTAGATGGAGCCGAACGCGA